ATTAGAATTCAATTTTTTATATTTTCTTAAATTTACACTATCAAAAATGGAATTGTTTAAAATTCTGTATTACAGTATTTAATTAAAACAAAACTTAAAAAAATCATATCTAAATTGAATAATTTTAATTTTAAAAGATTCAAAAATAAAAAATACAAAAAATGCAATAGAAATATAAATCCTGGTCTAAATAAATTTAAAATTTTAAACAATAACAAAAATATAAAATTTTAAAAAATAATTTTAAAAAAAATCACCAATTTCATGATACTATCAAAAAAATTTTAAAATTATTATTAGTAGATAATAAATTTATGAGGATAAATAACAATGTATATTTTTGAAGTATTTTTATATTATAAGAACTAGAGAATTTTGAGAAACAATTATTATGAAGAAAGTTATTAAAATTCTAAAATTTCTTTTCAACATACTTAGAAAACGTTGAATAACCAAAATATATACCGATTGAAATTGAGGTCTTTTCTTGAAATTAAGGAAAATAAGTAAGTGAAAAAATATGTTTATATAAAGAGAACGTCTAAAGAACTTCCAGAAACAGCAAAAATAGAACATGTTATTCTTAAAATGATGGTCAATAACTTACTTAGAAACACAATCCGTCAAATATTTCTGTCTTTTACTTAAGAAATATTAATTTTATAATTAAGACAATAATTTTGAACACAAAAAATAAACTTAAAAGAATCCTTCTAAACAATACTAAATGTTTTATATCTAAAAAAATATTTTAAAAAGATAACTGAAATATTAGCTTTATAAGTTTAAAATATTTTTAGCATTAATATTAACAAAAGAAAATTATTATTATAAATATATATAAATATTCTAAAAATCAAAAAAAAAATTGAAAAAATATTAAAATATTTAATACAATAAATAATAAAACATAAAAAAATGCATAATTTAAAATTTATTTTAAAAGAACTTAATTTTCAAGAAAAGATTCTATTAAAAATAATCTTTTAAAAAAAAATCAAAACAAAAAGTCTCATTAAATAGAATGGTTAGAATAAGTTTGATTTTATTTTAGAAAATATTGATTAAAAATCCAAAGAAAATACTCAATGTGTTAAGTTTTTTCGTATAATACACTCTTCAACTCCTTAACTAATCATTGAAAATTAACTAATCATTAAAAAACAAATTATTTAATTATTTTTCAACTTAGCCTTGTTAAATAAATATAAAAAATATTAAAGATTAATAGACGAGTATTAAAGGTTGAAGGAATATTATGTACGGCATAATTTACAAAATGATATAAAAAACTAAAATTATTCAAAACAAAGACTTTAAAAATCATCAATATTTTTAAAAATATCAATTAAATAATAGTGCAAGAGCATTATATTCCTTTTTAAAGCTGTATTACTGTAAATTTGTGTCAAATTATACACTGATTCTATGAAAGTATTACCTAGAATATAAATTTTAGAAAATTCAAGAAAAATATAGAATATTTTTTAAAATAAAATTCTCAAATACAGAATCAGTCTAAAAGTTAAAAAGAAATATAAATAATTAAAACAAACAGTTTAAATATGAGAAATTACTGTATAAATTTCAACAGAATGTTTATTATATCATAGAGAAATAACATTATTAAAAATAAGATTCCAAGATTAAACTCTGCAAAATTCCTAAATGAATTACAAAATAATACATAATATTATCAACCAAGATTGTAAAATTAGTAGATAAATTAAAAAAACAATCCTTTTAAAAACTTTAAATGACAAAACTCTATGAAAAATGCTACTATTATTCTATTAATATCTATTAATATTTAAAATATTGGATAATAAAAATAATTATAATTAACAATAAAACAGCTAAACAATGATACTAATATTTCAATTACAATAATTATAAAAAAAACTTTAAACCTATATATAAACATAATTGTAATAATTGAATAATACTATTATTAGATCAATTAAAATACAGAAGAAAGATAGGGAAACTAGAAAACAAATGAATAACAGTTTTTGACAAAAATCTTTAATCAAAAATGAGCTTTATTTTTTAAATTATAGTTTTTATCTAATAAAAATATATATTTCTTTATATGGTGAAAACAATGTAAAATTAACAAAAAAGATACAAAAGATATAATTAAAGAGATTTAAAGGATCTAGTTTTAAAAGTTCTAGAAAAATTTAGAAGATCCGGAAAAATATCTAAAAAATCTAAAATAAATATGCAATGGGACACACTATTTTTCAAAATTTATTCCATCTTTAAAGTCGAAAAAATTGAAATTTCATAAAAATAAAGTCTAACAACATTAAAAATATGTGAAATTAACTTTAAAATTACAGAAAAAAAGTAATACCTTAATAAATTTAAAAGAAATTAGCTTATCTAAAAATTACCAAAACGTAGATCAAAACGAGGATATACCTAGGGAATTACAAAGGGAAATGTGAATACTATTAATAAAAAATAAAAAATATTACAGAGATATGAAAAAGGTAATAAGAAAATATTAAAAAATATATCCAAAAACTACAAGCATTAGTAAATTTGAAAAAATAAAAAAATATATAGATTAAATCGATGTCACGTAATATTATATACATTCATTATACTATATTCAAAATCAATTTAAACAATGTAATGATCAAAAGTATACATTGAATTAATTGAAGGTAATAACTAAAAATACATAACGTAAGCGAACCTTCAATCGCAATAAAAAATACAATACATATAAAACATATAAATCATATAATTGTAAATAAATGATATGTATTTTAATTTAAGCGTAAAATTATATATTTAATGTTGGATCTGAACCAAATCATAAAATCATAAACAAACCATGATTTTATTACAAATCTTATTTAGATCTAAGTAATTTTTCCATTCAAATATAGAATATATGAAAAAACAGAAGCGTTAATATATAAACTAATATAAATCAAAGTTGAAAAACACGAATTATAAAATGACATTTAAATAGTTCAATCTAAAACGTAAACTAACTGTTTTTGAAAAGGTAAATCTTTTATAAAAATTTAAATGTAATATATAATTCACAATAACATCATAACGAATATCACTAAGTAAGCATCGTTTATCATTCAATCAAATATTATTTTTTTTTAAAGGCCAAAATATTCACATGTACTTTTTTATATTAAAAATTTCACCTTATTTATTATTAATCAAAAACTCTGTTTTCTATTTTCATTTAATCAATGAAAGCCTTTATATTTAGTACTCTTTTTTGTACAATACCTGTCTTTTCAAGGAGTCTTGGTAGTATATTCAACGTAATTTTCTTTTTTTTTTATAACTTTTTAACTTCTTAGGATGATCTAGATTCACGTTTACTGGGTCCATTAAGGCATGTAAATCTTTGAATATCATTGAACACCCAATACTGACAGGATTCATAGTGATGCGCAGCTTTCTGCTCTATTTGTGTTTTATGATGGAAAGGACTGTGTGTTTTTAGATGGCCTATGCGCAGAATTACGTAAAGGATATGGAGACTTAACTACTTTAGATAGTCGACTAAGTGATATCTGTCGTCCTAAATCAGATGATGCTGCTTATTGTAAAAATCTTTTGGAAACTGCCATGCCTGAAGCCCGTGAGCTTTATACAGAACTCAAAGAATCAGAATCAAAATTCTCACTTGGAGAGTGCAGACGCCTTCTTACTTTATGCAATTTTTTTAGTGGTATTTTTCCTCTTCTTGTTCCTCTTTGTGAGCAACTGAAGCTTAGCTGCTATTCCGAAATACGCAAACATGCCGCTTTCTCTGCTCTTGTAGAGATGGGGGGAAACCAAATGAGGACACATGATGAATGTGTCCATAAAATGGAAGGTGTATGCCATAAATATGGTGGAACTACTCCTGAGTTCAAAGACTTGTGCCTAGACTTACATAGTTTATGCCGAACTGTTATAGAAAAATTCATAGGTACATGCGAATTTTTGGAAACTCAGCAAACGCTAAATCTAAAACAACTAAGTGAAAACGTGTGTGATTTGACTCATCTATGCTTTAATTATGGACGGAATTGTAATCGTCAAACACACTCTTTTTGCAAAAGACTACACTCCAATTGTGAATCCAAAGGTTATCCCGTTGCACCGGTTTTAGGCAGTCCGTATAAAACAACGCCAGAAAAAAATCTCGAAGAAGCATTAACAAAATATGGTGTTTATATGGGTACACCTGATCCAAATAAGAAAAATCCATGGGACCCTTCATTGTGTCTTTTGCTCCAAAATTCAGGACAACCCCCAACCAAACAAGCATGTGAACATATTACATGGAACTGTGAGCTTTTATTCAGTGACCCAAGTTTGTACCCTTTCTGCATACCTCAAGAGGATCGTTTAGCAAACAGTATTTGCTTAGGATTAAAACATAGATTAGAAGGTGATTCTGGTTATCTTGATATTCTTAAAGACAAACTTACTTCATTTGGATTCATTGGAGGTTTTGGAGAAACTTCTGAAAAATACACTGGAAAAGGTTTAGAAGATCTAGACGGTTTACTAGAATTGTCTTCTCCTCGCCTTACTACTCATGAATGTACACAACTACAAGCGGACTGTTATTATTATGGTATTTTTGGGGAAGAGGATCTTCAACGTGGTTGCGAAAAACTCTCTTCAAAGTGCTATGGTAGATCATGGAACAAAGCTGTTCTTAAAAATCTACTAGGCACTACACATCAACGTACTTCTGGGACTACAGGACTTGATTCATTAAGTTGCCAAAAACAGTTGGCTGGAAAATGTAAAGGCTTAAAGTATCCAGATGTTCATGTAACCTTTGCATGTCTGCATCTTGAATCTACATGTGAGGTTTATACAGACGATTTTTGAGAAGATATTTAAGGGTCAAATCTTGCATTATATTTGGTTTTGTTTTTGAGAAATCATTGAATATTTAAGTCATTTTGTTTTTTTGGTTTATATTCTAAAAAGGCATATCTATTTTAATAGTAATAATTATATATATGGGTTGGAGTCATATAACATTATAAATTTAATCATTATTATCACTTATGTATTTATGTATCGGTCTTATCTATTACGTAGTGTTTCCCCAAGAAAGTTGCCTGACAAAGTTGTATGCACCATACTAGCTTCACTTATTAAGTATTTTTGGTAATGCTGATTCGTTGTCTAAAGACACTGAAAGTCATTAGTAGAAAAATAATATTAAGTCAAATATTTTTTAATGAAATTATATCTTTGATAATTAATCAAAGAAGCTTTCTAGTATTTAACTAACGATATCAAATGGAAACATAATTTGTCTAAAAATTTACTAATGCTACTTTCTTTTAATGTCTTAAAGAACAAATATAAACTAATCTTAAAAAGAAGCATTTTTAGTCTTAAGTTTTTTATACACTTTTTTCTGTTTTTAATATAAATTTTTCTAAAATTTTGTAATATTTTGTCTTTAAAAAATGAATAATGCAAAAAAATATGAAAAAAATTTAAGGGTTTGTATAAAAATTAAAAAACAAAAAAATCTACAGGATTTAAAAACAGGGTTTAAAATAAATGCATTAAATTCAAAAAAAAAAAAAAACGTACTCAATAAGTAAGTCTTAAAGTTGATATATCATAATTAGAAGGAAAATGAACAAAAACTCCTACTTTTGGAAAGAGCATATTTTAATCTTTTAGAAAACTGCTACAAGTTAAGAAGTTGTGAAAAAAAGCGTAATAAAATAACTCTTTTTTTTTGATTGTTGAAATTTTGTTTTTAGTAATTTCAAAAAACCTAAGAAATTAGAAGAGTATTTCTTAAATCTAAGGGAAATAGCAAATTAATGCAAAAAATGCCATAGTAGAATTTACATAGATATTTCTAAAGAAAAAAAACAAATGAGTCTAAACTTCTAAAAGCAAAAACTAAAAAATACTCATAAATGTTACTAATAAAATGTATTTTTTATTGCTTAAACAGGGATACCTTTGCAGTTAAAACAATGAGAACATTGAAAAGGCAAATTATATCAGTCTTGAGAACCGATTTAAAAAGAAAAAACTCACATATAGAGCACCTGCTTCACATTTTAATCTTATAAGACTAGGGATTATATTAGCAGAAAAACAACTTTGGAAAATCTTTATAAAATCTTTATAGAG